GATGCAAGCTTGCAGATTTCAGATTTCAGATTGGAGGTTTGAGATTTGAGGTTTGGGATTTGAGATTTGGGTTTGAAATGTAAGATTTGAGATTTAAGATTTGAGATTCAAGGTCTGAGATTTGGGTTTGAGATTTGAGGTTTGGGATTTGAGATTTGGGTTTAATATTCAGGTTTGAGGTTTGAATTTGCGATTTAAGATTTGAGATTTTAATTGAAGATGTTGGATGTGAGATTTGAGATTTGGGTTTGAAATGGAAGATTTGGGTTTGAGATTTGAGGTTTTGGATTTGAGATTTGGGTTTAATATTCGGGTTTGAGGTGAGCCCTCCTCCACCCTTCTCCCTCAAATCTCTTTTTTTGGGGCATTTCGACCCAAATTTTTGGACCTCAGGCTTTTTCTGATAGTTCAAATGATAATTTTTTTTTTGGGGGGGGGAGGGGGGAAGGTGGCACTGCAACGCGATTTTGGGATGCAAGCTTGCAGATTTCAGATTGGAGGTTTGAGATTTGAGGTCTGGGATTTGAGATTTGGGTTTGAAATGGAAGATTTGAGATTTAAGATTTGAGATTCAAGGTCTGAGATTTGGGTTTGAGATTTGAGATTTGGGCTTGAGATTTGAGGTTTGGGATTTGAGATTTGGGTTTAATATTCGGGTTTGAGGTTTGAATTTGAGATTTAAGATTTGAGATTTTAATTGAAGATGTTGGATGTGAGATTTGAGATTTGGGTTTGAAATGGAAGATTTGAGGTTTTGGATTTGAGATTTGGGTTTAATATTCGGGTTTGAAGTTTGAATTCGAGATTTGGGATCTGGGATTTGAGATTTGGGTTTGAGATGTAGGATTTGAAGTTTGAGATGTTAATTTAAGATGTTGGATGTGAGATTGGATATTTGGGTTTGAGATTTGAGGTTTGGGATTTGAGATTTGGGGTAGAAATGAAAGATTTGAAATTTAAGATTTGAGATTCAAGGTCAGAGATTTGGGTTTCAGATTTGAGGTTTCAGATTTGAGGTTTGGGTTTAATATTCAGGTTTGAGGTTTGAATTCGAGATTTTAATTTGGGATTTGAGATTTGGGTTTGAGATGTAGGATTTAAGATTTGAGATTTTAATTGAAGATGTCGGATGTGAGATTTGAGATTTGGGTTTAAAATGGAAGATTTCAGCTTTAAGATTTGAGATTCAAGGTCGGAGATTTGGGTTTGAGATTTGAGGTTTCAGATTTGAGATATTAATTTAATATTAGGGTTTGAGGTTTGAATTCAAGATTTAAGATGTTGGATGTGAGATTTGATATTTGGGTTTGGGATTTGAGATTTGGGTTTGAAATGAAAGATTTCAGCTTTAAGATTTGAGATTCAAGGTCAGAGATTTGGGTTTGAGATTTGAGGTTTGGGATTTGAGATTTGGGTTTAATATTCGGGTTTGAGGTTTGAATTTGAGATTTAAGATTTGGGATTTGAGATTTGGGATTGAGATGTAGGATTTGAAGTTTGAGGTTTGCGGTTTGAGGTTTGAGAACATTTGGGATTTGAGATTTGAGATTTGAGATATGGGATTTGAGATTAAGATTTGAGATTTCAAATTTGAGAATTGAGTTTGAGGTTTGAATTTAAGATTAGAGATTTGGGTTTGAGATTTGAATTTGAGGTTTAGGATCTAATATTTTAAGTTAAGATGTAGGATTTGAGATTTGAGGTTTAGGATTTGAGGTTTAGGGTTTGAGATTTGAGGTTTAGGGTTTGAGATATAGGATTTGAGATTCAAGATGTGAGATTTGGGTTTGAGATTTGGGTTTGAGGTTTGGGTTTGAGGTTTGGATTTGAGGTTTGGATTTGAGGTTTGAAATTTGAGGTTTAAGGTCTGAGGTTTGGGTTCAAGAATTTGAATTTACGTTTGAGATTAAAATTTAACCTTAAATTTGAGCTTCAAGGCTGCAGGACTGAATTTGTGATTTGGATTTGGGATCCGAATTTGAGATTTGTGGTTTTCCTTTGGGGGGTCGTTGGGGGTTTTTTGGGTTCGGGGCTTGAGGCTGAGCGTGAAGCTTCAAGATTTAAATTTAAACTGAAATTTGAATTCCTGCTGCACTCACGATTTCCCCCTCATTGTCCTTAGAGATGGGCGTGTGTGCCTTCGAGTGCTGAACCGAAATATTTACATCTCCCAAATCTGATAAATTAATGAGAAATTCTGCTGCTGGGTTTCCTTCAGGCACGATTCACTCTTCTCTCCTCACCTGATTTTGACTTTTTTTTTTCACCAATATTTGGAGATTTCAGGAATAATGCACTGATTTGGTTTTTTTGGGGGGGATTTTTCCTTGCAGAGTTCGTCGTGCAGCCGACGCCAGCCGTCACCTATCGCACCATTGGGGGGGTTCTGGATTTTTATGTCATTTTGGGTGACACCCCTGAGCACGTGGTGCAGGAGTACGTCAAGGTGGGTGCGTGCCCCGGGGTGGGGGGCACCCGAATCTCCCATTTGAAGCACCCAGCAACTCATTTGGGGCACCCAAATTCTCCTTGGGGCCACAAAAGTCACCCTGGGGGCACCTGCATCCTATTTGGGCATCCTCATATTGCATGGGAGCACCCAAATTTGGAGAAGCAAAATGCCATTTGGGGAACCCTCGAACCCATGGGGGCACCAAAATTCCCCTTGGGGGCAATCAGATCCCACCCAGGGACACCCAAATCCATTTGCAGCACCCAAATCCCATTTGGGGCACCCAGTGGCCGATGGGGGCACCCAAATCTCCCCCTGGGGCACCCTAAAAACCTATGGAGGCCCCACACTGGGGCACCCAAACCCCATTTGGGGCAATGTAGAACCCATCGAGCACCCAATAGCCCATGGGGGCACCCAAATCTCCCATTGGGACAACCGAATCCCATTTAGGGCACCCAAATTTTCCCTTAGTGCACCCAGTAGCCCAAATCCTGGATGCTGGGGCATCCTAGAACTCATGGGAGCACCCAAATCCCCCACTGGAACAGCCAAACCCTAGTTTGGGCACCCAGTAGCCCATCGGGGCACCCAAAAACCTCACTGGGCCACCCAGTAGTCCATGGGGTCACCCACTCCCTCCACTTGGGGCACTGTAGAACCCACAGGGACACCCAAATACCCCATTGGGTCACCCAAATCCCATCTGGGGAATCCTAGGACCCATGGAGGCACCCCAACCCCCCATTTGGACACCCAAATGCTCCATTGGGGCACCCAAACCCCATCTGGGGCACCCAAATTTTCCCTTAGCACACCCAGTAGCACTTGAAGACACCCAAATCCTGTTTGGGGCTTCCTAGAACCCATTGGGACACCCAGATCCCCCATTGGGACACCCAAATCCCGTTGGGGACACCCAAATCCTATTGGGTCACCCAAATCCCATTTGGGGCATCCTAGAACCCATTGGGACACCCAAATCCCGTTGGGGACACCCAAATCCTATTGGGTCACCCAAATCCCATTTGGGGCATCCTAGAACCCATTGGGTCACCCAAATCCCATTTGGGACACCCAGTAGCCCATGGACACCCAAATCGTATTGGGTCACCCAATTCCCATTTGGGGCATCCTAGAACCCATTGGGACACCCAAATGCCCCATTGGGACACCCAAATCCCGTTGGGGATACCCAAATCCTATTGGGTCACCCAAATCCCATTTGGGGCATCCTAGAACCCATGGGGACACCCAAATCCCCCATTGGGACACCCAAGTCCCGTTGGGGATACCCAAATCCCATTGGGTCACCCAAATCCCATTTGGGGCATCCTAGAACCCATGGGGACACCCAAATCCCATTTGGGACACCCAGTAGCCCATTGGGTCACCCAAATCCCATTGGGTCACCTAAATCCTGTTCGGGGCTTCCTAGAACCCACTGGGACACCCAGATCCCCCACTGGGTCACCCAAATCCCGTTTGGGTCACCCAGTAGCCCATTGGGTCACCCAAATCCCATTTGGGGCATCCTAGAACCCATTGGGACACCCAAATCCCATTTGGGACACCCAGTAGCCCATGGGGACACCCAAATCCTGTTTGGAGCATCCTAGAACCCATTGGGACACCCAGATCGCCCAATGGGACACTTAAATCCCATTTGAGACACCCAGTAGCCCATTGGGACACCCAAACACCATTGGGTCACCCAAATCCCATTTGGGGCATCCTAGAACCCATGGGGACACCCAAATCCCGTTTGGGACACCCAGTAGCCCATGGGGACACCCAAATCCCATTAGGTCACCCAAATCACATTTGGGGCATCCTAGAACCCATTGGGACACCCAGATCCCCCACTGGGACACCCAAATCCCATTTGGGACACCCAAATCCTATTGGGTCACCCAAATCCCATTTGGGGCATCCTAGAACCTATGGGGACACCCAAATCCTATTTGGGACACCCAGTAGCCCATTGGGTCACCCAAATCCCATTGGGTCACCTAAATCCTGTTTGGGGCTTCCTAGAACCCACTGGGACACCCAAATCCTGTTTGGGTCACCCAAATCCCATTTGGGGCATCCTAGAAGTCATTGGGACACCCAAATCCCATTTGGGACACCCAGTAGCCCATGGGGACACCCAAATCCCTTTTGGGGCATCCTAGAACCCATGGGGACACCCAGTAGGCCATGGGTCACCCAAATCCCATTTGAGACACCCAGTAGCCCATTGGAACACCCAAATCCCATTGGGTCACCCAAATCCCATTTGGGACACCCAAATCCCCCATTGGGACACCCAAATCCCATTTGGGTCACCCAAATTTCCCCTTAGCACACCCAAATCCCCCATTGGGGGCACCCAAATCCCATGGGGGCACCCAAGACCCATTTGGGACGCACGGTATTCCACTGGGGCACGCAAATCCCATTGGGACAACCCATATCCCATTCAAACCTCCTTTTTGGGGCGAAGAAGGTGTCAGTCCCCCAAACCCTGATCTGTTTTGGGGTTTTTTTTTTCCCCCAGCTGGTCGGGATGCCGGTGATGCCATCCTACTGGTCGCTCGGCTTCCAGCTCAGCCGCTACGATTACGGCTCCCTGGATGAAGTGAAGGCGGTGGTGGAGCGGAACCGAGCCGTCGGGCTGCCCTACGTGAGTCCAAACTCAGACAATCACAGAACCGTGGATGACCTGGGTTGAAAAGGACTTGAAAAGGACCACGATAATCACATCCTTCCAACACCACCCCTGCTGAGTGCAGGGTCGCCAACCAGCAGCCCAGGTTGCCCACATCCAGCCTGGCCTCGAATGCCTGCAGGGATGGGGGCATCCACAACTTCCTTGGGTGCTTCACCACCCCCTGGGTGAAAAACTTCCTCCTCAAATCCGACCTAAAGCTCCCGTGGCTCAGTTTAAAACCGTTCCCCCTTGTCCTATCGCCATCCTATCGCCAGCCGTTCCCCCTCCTCTTGAAGTACCGGGGTACTTAATTACCCTCTGCCTGTCTTAATTACCCTCTGCCCATCTTCGTGGCCCTCTGACCATCTTCATTACCCTCTGATCATCTCAGTGGCCCTCTGACCATCTTCATTACCCTCTGACCATCATAGTGGCTTTCTGACCACCTCTGTTACTCTCTGACCATCTTAGTGGCCCTCTGACCACCTTAATTACCCTCTGCCCATCTTAGTGGCCCTCTGACCATCTTCATTACCCTCTGACAATCTCAGTGGCCCTCTGACCACCTTTGTTACTCTCTGACCATCTTCATGGCCCTCTGACCATCTCAGTGGCCCTCTGCCCATCTTAGTGGCCCTCTGACCATCTTCATTACCCTCTGCCCATCTCAGTGGCCCTCTGACCATCTTCATTACCCTCTGACCGTCTCAGTGGTCCTCTGCCCATCTTCGTGGCCCTCTGACCATCTTAGTGGCCCTCTGACCATCTTAATTACCCTCTACCCATCTCAGTGGCCCTCTGACCATCTTCATTACCCTCTGACCATCATAGTGGCTTTCTGACCACCTCTGTTACTCTCTGACTATCTTAGTGGCCCTCTGACCACCTTAATTACCCTCTGCCCATCTTAGTGGCCCTCTGACCATCTTCATTACCCTCTGACAATCTCAGTGGCCCTCTGACCACCTCTGTTACTCTCTGACCATCTTCATGGCCCTCTGACCATCTCAGTGGTCCTCTGACCATCTTAGTGGCCCTCTGACCATCTTCATTACCCTCTGAGCATCTCAGTGGCCTTCTGACCATCTTCGTTACCCTCTGAGCATCTCAGTGGCCCTCTGACCATCTTCATTACCCTCTGACCATCTTCATTACCCTCTGACCATCTTCATTACCCTCTGGCCATGTCAGTGGCCCTCCTCCGGACCCCCTCCAAGAGCTCCACATCCTTCCTGTGCTGGAGGCTCCAGACCTGGACGCAGTGCTGCAAATGGAGCCTCACAAGAGCCGAATAGAGGGGGACAATCACCTCCCTCTTCCTGCTGGCCACCCCTTTTTTCAATGCAGCCCAAAACACGGTCGGCCTTTCTGGGCTGTAAGTGCAAACTGCTGGATCACATCCAGCTTCTCTGACTTGGGGGATCCTTCTCTGCAGGGCTGCTTTCAAGGAGATCTTCCTCCGTTCTGTATAAATACCTGGGATTACCCCCGACCCAAATGCAGCACCCTGCACGTGGCCTCATTATTGAACCTCATTATTGAACCCCATTTCTCCATCCTGCCCAGACCCCTCTGGGTGGCTTCCCTTCCTTTCAGTGTATCGACTGCTGTGAGAAACACTCAAGGTCAAACATTGCAGGTTAGGCAAGGATCTCAGCGATAGCAGCGAAGTTTGTTATTGCAATAAGGGACGCGCGCCCCCTGCTGGCAAAGTCAGCAAAACGCATTCCATCATATATATGTAATTTCACACCATTACTTTTTCCTCCCCCATTTTCTTCCCCCATTTTTCCCCCCCATTTTTCCCCCCCAT